TCTTGGCTAATGCATTTTGTATTATGAAATAGACATGGGGCTGGAGAGATGGCTCAGCAGTTAAGAGCACTGGCTGCTCTTCCAGAGGACCCGGGTTGGTTCAATTCCCAGCACCCACACGATGGCTAACAGCCATCCATAACTCCAGTTCCAGGGGATCCAACACCCTTTTCTGGCCTCCACAGCCTTTGCACTTACATACATGTAGGCAAAACACTCATACACATAAAATAAAAATAAATATATTAAGTTAATTCTCTGTGGAATTTTGCCATACCAATAAAAACATACACATACAAAATCCCCAATAGCAATGATAAACCAACATGCTAGGCTGTCTGAAGGTGTGGCACAACACCTGTTTTCTCTATTTGCAGTAAGGTTTTTGTTGCTATTGCCTGCCTTGTTTCATTTCAATTCAATATCCCTTTTTATTGTGGTTGTTTGGTGGTGTTAGGGATCAAACCCAAGACATCAGACATGCTAGGTAAGCACTCTACCACTGAGCTACACTCCCAGCTCTCAACACCTTTTAGTACCCTGGCTCTGTCATGAGTTTAGAGTATGAAAGCCAGGCTGTAGTTTCCGTTCATTCCGTATCAGCTAAATGCCCTTTGGGTCACTTTACCACCAACATCTCAGTATCAGCTTGCTTTCTGAGAACAGCGCGATTGACTATAATAATGGGCATGCCAGTCAATTACAATATTATTACTAACAATGAAAGATATAATCCTTTCCATTTTGTGTCCTCTGGATCTTGATGAAACAAGAATTTTAAGTCTTCTTGCTATATACAATTAGATGATCCACAAATACAACTTACATCCAAGTGATCAAGATAATTTAGATAAAGCTCCCTAACTATATAAATGCAAGACTAAACGGACCTCAGTTAATTTAGTTGAACTACCAATTCTGGCTTAGAGCTCTGATTTACAAAAAGGAAAAGGAAAATTTTCACTTAAGACATGTTCTGGCTGGGAAAGGAGTTGAAGGAGGGAAGGCAGATACAATGATACAGAAAAATGCATGAATATGCCAGGCATGGTGGTGCATGCCTTTAATCCCAGCACTTGGGAGATAGAGGCAGGCAGATCTCTGTGAGTTCAAGGTCAGCCTATGGTCTACATAGTGAGTTCCAGGTCAGCTGGGGCTGCAGGAAGACCCTGTCTCAAAAAGACAAAAAAAAAAAAACAAAAAAAAAACCAGGAATATACACCCAAGATAGTTACAATTTGAGAAGTTCTGCACTAGATAAATATGTTTTGTTCCCTCAATGAACTTTTCCTGATATTTAATTTCTGATATTCGAACTGTATCTATTTCTGACATCCTACTAAAACATACAAGGTAATATTTTTCCTCATCCAAAACAGCACAGCCTCTTGGCTTCCATAACAGGTCCCTTTGCATTCATCTCTTGCAGTCTTGCAGTGCTGTTTATATTCCTTCATTTAAAAAGTCCCCACACAATATATCACCATTGTGCTTGAATTAACAAGGATAAGGACAAACTGATTGAGAGCATCCCAAGGTTACTAATGCCACAGGATTTGTTAGGTGGTTGGCTACATTTGGAACTGTAGCTTTTCCCAAAGGTATTTTTTTAGTAACATTAAAAGAAAAAAAAAAAACAAAAACAAGTGCTGAGGGCCTCCAGGCAAGACAGTGGAGCTGGTGAAAGAGCTCAGCACTGCTCTGTCTCCTGTAGCTGATATCCTTTAACTGAAGGTTTATCTCTCCTTTATATGTATCCCAGACAGTGCTTCCCCAACAGTACTGCAAGCTGACATACTTTGAAGCCAGAGCCCAGCCTCAAAGTCCAGTGGCAGCAACTGTGGCATCCAGTTCCTAAGACTGTTACACAAATAATATTATTTTCTATGAAAGCCATGATGTGACTAAAGATCAGAAGTTTTTGGTAGAGCTTTAAAAAAAAAAAACCAACAACAACAACAACAAAAAAAAACAGTGTCAGGGCTGGACAGATGGCTCACTGGTTAAGAGTACTTGCTGATCTTCCAGAAAACCCAGGTTCAGTTCCTAGCACCCATACAGCAGGTAACAGCCATCTATAACTACAGTAACAGGTGATCTGATGCTCTCTCTGGCCTTTGAAGGCACTGGATGCACATGGTACACATACATACATGCAGGTAAAACATATACAAATGAATTGAGAGGCAATATAGTACAGCAGTATTAAATTTTGGAACCAAATATAGCAGGACCTAAATATCAGCTCTGCCACTTCCTAGCTATTAATCTTGAATAATTTACTTTTAAATGCTCTGGTTCTCCATTTCCCAATATAAATAGATAATAACAATCCATAAAATGACTACATGGATTAGATGAGACCATAAACATGAAAGCAGTTGGCATTTAGCAAAAATTCAACAAAATCTAGTTTTTACCACCACTTCTACGTTTGCCACTGACAAATACGTGACGCCGAACAAGCTATATTTCCAGCAACACTTGGTAACAGAGAGGGTCCTGTACACAGTACTTCTCTTTAGACAGGTGACGTAGGGGAGGAGAGGTAAAACTGCACCTTCAGCCTTACTTAGTCAGCAATAAGGCCAGAAACTGACATCAGAAGAGTCTGGAGTTCACCTGTATCGGGACCACTAGTCCCTAATGCAAACAACCAAGAAATGGGGGTATTTATACTTATTCTCTCACTAAGTTCTGCCTGAAGCTCTGTATAGATCTTTCCTTCTAAATCAGAAAGACCCATAGACCAAGACCACCAAACTAGATAGGTTCTTAGACACTATTTAGTTCAATCTTCCCCTGTCACAAATAGAAGGTTAACAATGAAGCTCAGAGAAGGAAAACAGTTCACCAATATCACCAGGTCAAGCAGGAACCTAGATCCCAGAACTCAATCTTCATACTCTTCCCACCCTATTCCACAGAATGCTACTCCAAGCTCTCTCCACCTGGCAACCACTCTACCCCAGTCCTTCAACTTGTACTGTTAGGGAAAGAGGAATTTATTGCTTGTTTGAATATACTGCTTGTCTGAATTTACTGCTTGAATTTACTTGTTTGAATTTACTGCTTGTAACCAATTAACTCAACTGGAGACACAGGCATCCAGAGATAGAGGCAAGTGCTACAGCCCCCCCCCCTGGAGCCTGACCTTTTCTGTGTCATGTCATGTAGACATGTCTGCTTACACAAGATAACAGGAAAGAGCCGTGCCAGGCACATACCAACCATCTCTCCCCGATTGAGACACCTGAAGGGAGTTGTAACATTTTTCTTGTTTTAAAGTTATTGGTTTGTGAAATGCTTGCTTTGAAACTATTGGCTGTATAAACGCGGCTTTTGTGTAACGGTTGTGGGAGCCTATATAATCTTTACCTAAAATTGCCTCAGGGTCAAGCGCTCTAACCAGACCTGTGCGTCTTGAAAGGATGGTCGGCCCCAGCTAGCTGGTTTAATAAATCTCTGCTTGATTTTTGCATCTCCATACTCGTGCATTTGTTCTTCTCCAGAAGAGACCTACCGAGGAAAGGACCCTAACATTTTGGGGGCTCATCCCGGATTCGTGGGGGGCTTCTGGGGATCAAAGGATGAACAGAGGCAGAGTTTCTTTTCTCCGGACAGGGCAGTGTAAATCGAGGGTGGCTCCCTCGTGTCTGTAAAATCAAGAATAAAGCGGGAATCGCCATCCCGTGTCTGGTCTCGGGTTCGAGTCCCAAGCAGGGAAGTCCGGGTTCGAGTCCCGGCACCTAGGGTCCGAGTGTCTCGGCCCTGGGGAGGAAGCCCGATCGGCAGAAACCTGGCACCAGAGGAAGAGGAGGTCAAGCTCGTTACCTTGAGGCACTGAGGGAAAAAAAAAAAAATCAAGCTCGTTACTCTGAGGCAGTCCAAGCGGACGCTATTTGGGAGAATCACGAGAAGTCTCGGGGATCCTGAAAGTGAGAGTGGTGAGTGCAACGAGTGTCTGAGTGAAAGAAGGACCGGTCCGCACAAATGTGATTCAATGTGGTGCGCGTGCTTAATGGTTGTGCTAATTGTCTTACTGAGGGGAGGGGTCTGGTTTTGTATTTTTCTTTACGCTATTTTAAACCTTCCTTTCCTCCTTTTCCTTCCATTTATTCTCTGTATCTCCCACCCCTCTCCATCCCTCTCTCCGGCCACTGGAAAAAAAACAAAAACAAAAACCCACGGCCGGGGCTGCGCGGCTGGGGCTGCACGGGCTCTTGGGCAGCCGTGCCATGGCCGCCGCCCGGGGCATGAAGATCTCTAGGTGATGCCAAGAGATAAAGTTCGAGTGGCCCATGCTCACGTCCACCGAGCCCTGCGACGAGTTGCGCCCGATGGTCACCAAGCACCTCTTCATGAGGTACTTGAACTCGCAGCCCTCCAGCCGTGCCATGGCCCAGCCGCCCGGCGGGGACCTGCCACCCCCGGCCCCACCGCCCGTGGGAGGGGCGCCTGCGCCCCAACAGCGCCACTGCCACCACCACCGCCACCACCGGCCGCCTGCCCGCTCGGCTCCTACAGATGCTGCTGTGGAGCTAAGCTGAGCTGCCTGCGCCCAGGGCTCGGGAGGGGGCCGCGGAGGAGCCGCCACCCCCTGGCCCCCAATCCCCGGCCCCTGCCATGGGGCTCTGGCTGCTGCCGTACCCCACACAGCCAGGCTAGGGCGATGTGAGAGCCCCCAGACTGCAGCCCAGGTGGGCACCATGAGCCCCCTATTCCGCCGCCTGCTGCTCGCCGCACTGCTTTAGCTGGCTGGCGCCCAGGCCCCTGTCTCCCAGCTTGATTCCCTGATCATCAAAAAAAAAAAAAAAAAAAAAAAAAAGGGGGGAGGAGGATGGCGAGATGGCTCAGCAGTTAAGAGAACTAACTGCTAACAGCTGTCCATAATTCCAGTTTCAGGGGATCCGATTCCCTCTTCTGATCTCTGCAGGAATTGCACAACATGGGTGTACCAACCTATACGCAAGCATGGGTGCTCACTGGGCAGTACCAAGTCCAAATGCAGATCCTCATGATCCAGTACCCTAGCAGTCAGCTGGGGGAGATGTCCTTGGAAGAACACAGCCAATGTGAATACAGACCCAAACAAAAGGAAAGTGCTGTAAAGCCAAACAGGGCTGCCATACCCCACCACCATCCCCAGCCCTGCTCTGTTCTGGGCTGGGATTCCGACCGCGGAGCACCCTCCCCAGCTGACATCATCCATCCCATTCCAGCCCCAGGATTCTCTGTCCACGCTGCACCCAGCGCCATCAGCGCCCTGACCCCCGGACCTGCTGCTACTGCTGTAGATGCCACAGCTTCCTCCGTTGAAGAGGGGAGCCCAGAACACCCCAGCCCAGGAGATCTCAGCTGGGGCTCCAGAAGGGCCAGGGCCAGAAGCTGAGGTAGAAGAGACTGAACTCTTAGAGGCCGAGGAGATGCCTGGGGGTTCTAGGATACTGAGAACAGAGACTGAGACAATAGAATTGAAGATATTGGGGGTCCAGGAGACAGAAGTGAGGGCTTTGGGGATCCCAGGAATAGAAAATGAAACAGCAGAAGCTGAAATATTGAGGATCCAGAAGGCAGAAATAGGGGGTTTTGAGGGTCCAGTGATAGCTGCTGAGATGGGAAAGTCTGAGATATCGGAGGCCCAGGAAACAGAGGTTAGGGAATCAGGGGCTCTGTGGATAGACATGACACAGCCTGAGATGCTGGGAACCCAGGAGATAGAAGTTGGTGGCTCAGGGATCCCAGGGATAGAACCTGAAATAGCCAGGGCTCAGGAAACAGAGGTGGGGGATTCTGGGACTTCCAGGCCAGAAGCTGGAACAGTAGAGGCTGAGGTTCTGAGGGCCCAGTGGACAGAAACTGTAGTTACGGAGTTGGAGGAGGCAAAGACAGAAACTTTGGCAATCCAGGAGACTGAGACCTGGGGAGCTCTCACAGTCACTGAGCAAAGAGTTTGGGGCTCAGGCAATAGAGGCAGAAGTATCCAGGACACCAGAGACAGAGACTAAAGTTCTGAGGCTTTGGAGGACAGAGGCTAGAGTGTTGGGAAAAGCAGAGGCCAAATCTTTGACTTTGGGGCCCCAGAAAGCAGAGATAGCAGTTTTTGAGCCCCTGGAAAATAAGTCTGGTATTTTTGAGGCCCAGGAAGCAGAATCTGGGGTCTTGGGAACACAGAAGGAAAAAGAAGCTGAAGAAAGCCTCCCAGAAGCCAGCTTGATTGAGGCACAGGTGGCCAATGGGGCAGGGGCTGGGGTACCCAGGCCCTCGGGGGCCTCTTCCCCAGAGGAGCCCAAAGAGGACAGGAGGCTGCCGGGCAGCCAGGCACCACCTGCCCTGGTCAGCTCCAGCCAGTCCCTGCTAGAGTGGTGTCAAGAGGTCACCAGTGGCTACCGTGGTGTCCCTATCACCAATTTCACCACATCCTGGCACAACGGCCTGGCTTTCTGTGCTATTTTACACCGGTTCTACCCAGACAAGATCGACTATTTCTCTCTTGATCCACTGAACATCAAACAGAACAACAAACAGGCTTTTGATGGCTTCGTGGCCCTGGGCGTGTCTTGGCTGCTGGAGCCAGCAGACATGGTGCTTCTGTCGGTGCCTGACAAGCTCATCGTCATGACATACCTGTACCAGATCCGCACCTTCTGCACCGGGCAGGAGCTTCAGCTGGTGTAGCTGGAGGGCGGCGGGGCCTCCGGCACTTACCGCGTGGGCAGCGCCCAGCTGAGCCTGCAGGACGACCTGGACGCCGGTGGCCTGGCACAGTGGCTGCGCGGCCACGGGACCGACGCATCCAAGGAACCCTGAGAGGCCGGGAACAGCGGGGCTGGGGCGATATCCAAGGCTGCCTCCAGTGATGCAGACCCGGGCTGTGCCTCCAAGGATGGCGAGGCCAAGGCTGTCAGGGAAGAGTTGGCCTCCAGCGGCCCGGAGTGTGCTTGCCCATGGCCCCCGCAGAGGGGCTGATGAACTGGGCTGGGGCGTCGGGTGTGGTGGGCGCTGTGAAGCTGAGACGGGCATCCGTCAACGGAGAGTCCAGGCCTGTGCCACCACCCCAAGCACATGGCTCCTTCTCCCACGTGTGTGACGCGGATCTGCTAAAGAAGAGACATTCACGGCGCGGAACAGCAACTCCTTCTCTGTGGATGACCCAGACTCTGGAGCTGCGGGAGGCACCGGACCTGTGGGACCTGGGGCTGCCGAAGGCCCTAGCCCCGACTCCAGCCTTGACCCTAGCCCACTCACAGACACAGCCCTGCAGCAGCCCTCTGGTGGGAACCCTCCTTCAGATGAACCATCCCCCAAGTCCAGGAGAGGAGGCTGGACTGCAACGACTCCAGGACACAAGTCAGTACGTGTGTGCAGAGTTTCAGGCCCTAGAACAGGAGCAGAGACAGATAGATGGCAGAGCAGGTGAGGTGGAAACACAGCTGAGAAGCCTCATGGAATCAAGTGCCAACAGGCTACAGGAGGAGATGCTGATCCAGGAGTGGTTCACACTGGTCAACAAGAAGAACACCCTCATCAGGAGACAGGACCAGTTGAAGCTTCTCATTGAGGAGCAGGACTTGGAGCAGAGGTTTGAACTGCTGAGCCGGGAGCTGCGGGCCATGTTGGCCATTGAAGAGTGGCAGAAAACGGTGGCGCAGCAGCACCGGGAGCAGCTCTTGCTGGAAGAGCTGGTGTCTTTGGTGAACCAGAGAGATGAGCTGGTCCGGAACCTGGACCACAAGGAGGAGATCACACTGGAGGAAGATGAGTGCTTGGAACGCATCCTGGAGCAGCGGCGCCGCAAGGTCAGCCGGCAGCTGAGCCGGCGGGAGCGCTGCACGCTGAACTGAGCTGAGCTGGGCTGAGCTGGGCTAGCCTCCACCCTCCTGGAAGCACTCGCCTTCTGTCTGTGCAGCAGAGGATCTGGACCTCCAGAAAGCAGAGCACAGCCTGTAGCCTCCAACGTTCCGTCAGCCTGCAGAAACAGGACAGCGGTGGGGCGCCTGCGCCTGCCCGGCAGTATTTATTTGTTTCTCTGAGTGTTTGTGAGTGTGTGGTGCCTCCCGTGCGTCTGCAAAGGGATGGCTGATGGCTCTGGACCTGCGGCCCACATCCTCCTCCCCTTCCTTTGCCTCTGGAGCAATAAAATTAAACAAGGTTTTGGTAATGCAAAATTGACCATTGTCCCCTATAGCTGTGTTTAATTTTGCAATGTACAGTGTATATAAAGGACAAAAAAGTCCAAATATGCAACATCTAGTTACTAGACATTAAAGAAGTTGCCAGTGTATGACAAAAGTAGAGTAGTGAACAAACATGGTGGACACCCTTTGTGTTAAAATTTGTAGAAAACCACTTATGGAGTAAAATTGTTAGTATCCACTCAAAGCAGTACAGTTGCATAAGCCTGAGTCCTGGCTGATAGAGATGGAAAAGTTTCTAAGCCAGAGTGCTGCTATTTAGAAGGCACTTTTCTGATTGTAGTCTTTGTTAGGTGTGTGCAGCTTACTCAGTGGCACTGTACAATACTGGGGCAACTTAAGTTCTTATTACAGACATCTATTCTTAGACATTTAAAGGTACATAATAGGCCAGGTGTGATGGCACACCCTTTTGATCCCAGCACCAGGGAGACAAGTAGATGGATCTCTGAGTTGAGGCCAGTCTAGTCTACATAGTGAGACCCTGTCTCGAGAAAAAAAAAAAAGGACTGGAGAGGAGACACAAAGAGTATAAAAGTAATAAAAGCTAGTTCGAGTCTTGGTTTATGCATAAACCATGGTTTACAACTCTCCTCTCAGCTATCGCAGGACCTCTAATTATTCTGTTGCTAAAGTCACAATTGGTCCCTGCATAATAAATAGGCTACTAAGGTTTGTTCAGGGAAAGATCGATACTGTCCATCTCTTGGTCCTTCACCAGAAATACCAAGCCTTAGATACTGCTGAGGAAGATTCCTCAGTCTGACCTAGTTAAAAGGGGGGAAATGCTAGGAAAAGAGGAATTTACTGCTTGTTTGAATATACTGCTTGTCTGAATTTACTGCTTGAATTTACTTCTTTGAATTTACTGCTTGTAACCAATTAACTCAACTGGAGACACAGGCATCCGGAGATAGGGGCAAGTGCTACAGCCCCCGGAGCCTGACCTGTCTGATCTGTGTCGTGTCACGTAGGCATGTCTGCTTACACAACAGGAAAGAGTCGTGCCAGGCACATACCAACGATCTGTCCCCAATTGAGACACCTGAAGGGAGTTGTAACATTTTTCTTGTTATTGGTTTGTGAAATGCTTGCTTTAAAACTATTGGCTGTATTAAACACGGGCTTTTGTGTAACAGTTGTGGGAGCCTATATAATCTTTACCTAAAATTGCCTCAGGGTCGATCGCTCTAACCAGACCTGCGTGTTTTGGAAAAGACGGTCGGCCCCAGCTAGCTGGTTTAATAAAACTCTGCTTGATTCTTGCATCTCCATACTCGTGCATTTGTTCTCCAGAAGAGACCCACTGAGTCACGGACCCTAACAGTACCCCCTTTGTTCTCCCCTTTTCCTCTCCCAGAAGCAAAATTATCAATCCTGGTCAATGACACCAAGCACACACAATATGCCAAAGTGCACTATAAGATACCCCCATCTCCTGACCTTGATTACACAAAGGATAAGCTGGCATTAGGGCTAACATGTACAAGGTCATCAGCCTGCCCTTGGGTAAGAACGGAGCAGAAGATACTAACTAGACTGTGATGACAAAACATCTACATTACCTTTGCTTCCAGCTTCTCCCCCAGAGCCTGAAGTTCTCAATGAGAGACCAGGTATCAGCCTTATAAGATATGCTGGAAGAATTACTCATAGACAAACAATTATGTTTGCAAGTGATTTCAAAGAATAAATGTGAAGGGCTGGCGAGATGGCTCAGTGGATAAGGGTACCTGCTACCAAGCCTGATGACTTGAGTTCAATTCCCGGGACCCACAGAAAAGAGAAGAAAACTGACTCCTACAAGTTGTCCTCTGACCTTCACACACACACTGTGGCACACACATGTGCACATGTACACACAAGTACACACACAGTAAATGTAAAAAATGTTTATTTTTTAATGAAAAAAAAGAATGAATGTGATATCAGAGACTTAGAACATCTGCAAGTTCTGGTTTGCATATCAGACAATCTGGAATTCCTGAGCTAAAAAATTCTGAGCAGTCTAATTAGTACAATGACTATCACACTTGGGATCTACTGAGTCTACACTTCTCTGTTATTTTAATTTTTCTTGCCTCAGGCTCTTCCTTTCAAGAAGGAAGCAATAACAATATCTACCTCCTGGAATTGTTTCAAAGATTAAATAAGATCAATGTTAAGTGATTAGAATAGTACCTGGTGTGTAAAAACACTCAAAAATAGGAGCTTTTGTTATCATTTATATTAACTAAGAAATCAAGTTCAGGCCCTCTTGTGAAGCTGTACTTTTGAGCTCAGAGTTTGTTACTTTTTCACGAACTATAGGAAAGACCTAGCCCCAGAAAAGGCTGAGAGACGACCAGACTCTAAGAAGAGTCTCTTCCTATACAACATCATTTTGTAGAGACTGGAAGAGGTAGCTGTTTTTCCAAATGCTCAAGTCCCAACAAGATTCAATAAAGCATACAGGGAAATGCAGCCCAATCAAAAGGACAGATTAAATTTCCAGAAATAACCCTGTAGAATCAGAGTACATTAATTAAAAGGATTCTAAATAACACATAAGGATGCTCAATGAACTGAGAACACAGGCAGGCAGACAGCTAAAAGAAATCGGGAAGCCTGCATGAACCAGGGAGAATATCAACAAAGACAAACTGAGAAGCAACTGCAAAGTTCACAGAAAGATCGAAAAGCAGACCCAATGAATGAAGCAGAAGGGCAAACTAGCCAACTGATGTCAAGGCATTAAAATTATTGAGTCATAAGGGCAAAAAGAAGTTGAACATAGTGACACATGCCTGCAGGTCCAGCACTGGGGAGGCTGAGGCAGAAGGGTCACAAGTTCAAAGCCAGCCTAGGCTAGGAGGGGAGGTAATGAAGTGGAGTGAGCCTCAATGGACTTAGGGGTGAAACAGCACACACATTATGGGTATCTCAGATCAAAGAAAGGGCATAAAGTCTACCTGAAGAAATAAAACTAATAAACTTGAGGACATAAACAAACCCAAATCTAAGAAGCTCAACCAACTCCAGCTCACATTAAATCCAAAGAAACATAATGCAGATAGACAATAACTAAGCTGCCAAGAGTCACAAAGAATCTTGAAAGCAGCAAGAAAAGAGACTCTGCATGTATGAGTTCCTATAAGATTATCAAAGGATTTCTCCTTGGAAACACTAAAGGCTGATGGGAGCAGGACAACATATTCAAAGCGTAAGAGGAAAAACCTTCTAACCAAAAAATACTATGTGCAGCAAAACTGTCCTTCAAAAATGAAGACGAGATTAAGACTTTCCCAGATAAACAAAAGACATTTCTGCTTTACAGAAATGCTAAAGAAAATCCTTGAAGTCCAAACAAAAAGCATAAAAAAGCAGCACAAAACCATATGACCGCACAACTCTCAAGTAAAGGAAAATACATAGAAAAATGCAGAATTCTTCAGTACTATAATACAGATGCATAAGTAATGTCAAAACTTGGTGTAGAGTTTTAAAAAACAGAATAAAAATTAACTACAAGTCTATTTTAATGAGTATGCAATTAAAAAGAGGCAATTTATAAGTATAATGAGTGACATAAAGTAAGCTATGAAAGTTGAGTTTTTATATACAACAAGTTATCTGTTATAACTACAATGTTTTATATGATTGCAATGATAGTCACAACACAGTATCTACAGATTATATACAAAAATAAATGAGAAAGAAGGAGCTGGAGAGGTGCTCAGTGGTTAAGAGCACTAGCTGCTCTTGCAGAGGACCCAGGTTTGGGTCCCAGCACTCACATGGCAGCTAACAACCATCTGTAACTCCAGTTCCAGGGGATCTGATGCCCTCTTCTGACCTCTGAGGGCACTGCACTACATGGGTGCACTTACACATAAAATAAACATAAATAAAAACTTTTTAAAAAGAAACAAGAAAGGAATTATAAAATTAGACAATATGAATCTAGAGCGCAAATGCTCTGTTCTACTTTTGCCTAAAACTAAAGTGAAAAATAGGAAGGGGAGCTGAAAGGTAAGAAATTCAGGCTTCACTGCTCTACTGGCTGTCTAACCTGAGGGCCCTAGGCAAAGGACCTCTGAAAACTGAGGGATTAATGAGATAGTCAACAAATGCTTATTGTGCACTTACTATACTACAAGTACACTGATGGCTGTTGAGTCCACAGTGCTAAATAGATCGGGCATGGTCTTGACCTCAGGGCTAGGTCAGTAGTCCTCAATTCTGGATGCATACTTACATATCTGGAGACTTAAATTAATGCATGACCCCTGATATCTGAGGCAGGGGAGTAGGGAGGGCCTTTTCAAGTATTTCTGACATAGCATGGGCTGAAAACTACTGAACTCAAAAATTTCTGCACTTCTATGGTTTTGTAAGTAAGTTTTCTTGCTTGTTTGGTTTGCTTTTGTTTGGTTTTATAGAGTGACAGAGTACATGCTCAGCATGCACGAGGTCCAGCACCATTAAAAAAGAAAAAAAGAAAGTCAGGTATGGTGGTCACACCCTGTAATTTAAGCACTTGGGAAATGGGGCAGGAGATTAGGAGTTCAGGGCTATTCTAGCTATAAATAATGACTTCAAGGCCAACTTGGGCTATATGACCCCACTCTATCCCCCAAAAAATACCTCCAAAACAAACTGATGCTTCATTCATAGCTGCATGTGTGTGTGAAGAAGTGAGGGTGGGATTGCCTTCAATGCACTACAATCTTACCCTGAAAAGCTTTATTTCCACTGACCTTATCTTAACCCACACATGCTTTGTGCAATCACAGTCAA